TCGTTGCTTACTCACTCAGTAGGTCGGTTGCCGTCTTGGCGGAGGATTGACAAAAACACAATAAAGAGAGGAAAGAGGGAGATGCGTTTGATCCAATGTTGTCAAAATCAAACCAGGTATCAATCCAAATTAGTGAGAGGTTTAAGATTTATCGGTAATCGATATTGAAAACCAATCATAAAATCGGTAACATACCATTTGTCAAAAATAATTATGGTTTTATGGTAATTACAAAGCATAATTTAAAATAAATAAATCTGAAATTAAAAGAAGTAAACAACGTGGAGAGTTTGGAAGTTTTTTAGGTTACTTGACGATAAAATGAAATTGGGACTATAAAAAAAAAGTGGATCGTGAACAAGCCTGATTAGGAGGTCTGCACCTCAATTTAAATGGAGACAACATATGATTTCTTGTGTTTCAATTAATAGGAAATAGTTTTTCTTAATGGAAAACACGTAAATTGGAGTTATTGTAATGAAATCCAAAAGAGTTAGTATTTTGAAGATTGATAGCAACTAACGGGCAAAATAAATTAGGGGTGTGCCTACGGTGACATGCACTTTCCGGTCGACCTCAGTTAGGATTAGGTCGACCTCATTTAGAATTCGGTCGACCTCATATAGGATCTGGTCGACCTAATCTATTGTTTCAGTGTAAAAACAGTTCATGGTGCCTACTTTAGATATTCATATCATACAATTGGCTATATGGAAATTGAAGACTAATGACTTGTTTTGAAGGTGGAGTGTCCCTCTACATATTGAAGTGATTGAGAGCTTGATAGGAAGTCCAGAAGACCATTTTTGAACCTCATCAAAAGGCTATGCCAAAACTGGGAAACTGCCTGGAAATGACTAAGTCTGGAAACGTGTTTGTGAAGTCTATTTTGGAGGTCAATTCGAGAAACATGAATGCGAGTCGAGTCCAGGAGCCTCTACCACATTAAATTAGGTATGTGTTTATATCAATTCAAGGCATTGGATGAAAGATTGGACATCTGTAAGTCTTCAAACAAAAGGGTCGAAGTTGCTACGAAGGCTGTTTTTATGGCCGACTTCGAGCACAAGCAAGCTGCCAAAAAAACAGCCTTCATAGCAACTTCGAGCCTTTTGTTTGAAACCTTAAAGATATTCAATCTTTCATCCAATGCCTTGTCTTTGCATAAAAAAATACGTAATTTAACGTGGTAGAGGACCCTGGACTTGACTCGCATCCATGCTTCTCAAATTGAGCTCCAAAGTAGGCTTGACAAACACGTTGCCAGACTAAGCCATTTTCAGGCAGTTTCTCAGTTTTGGCATAGCCTTTTGGTCAGGTTCAAAGATGGTCTTCTGGACTTTCTATTGAGCTCCCAAGTACTTTAATGTGTAGAGGGACACTTCAGCTTCAAAACAAGCCTTTAATCTCCAATTTCCATCTAGCCAATTGTAAGATATGAATCTCCAAAGTAGACACCATAAAACTGTTTTTACACTGAAACAACAGATTAGGTCGACCTAATCCTATATGAGGTCGACCGAAAAGTGCATGTCACCATAGCAAAGTCCAATAAATTGTTGGGGTTGAACGAATAGGAAAGACTAACAGCTAGTGTTTTAATTTTAATAGAAAAAGGTTATATTTTGATGATTAATAGCAATTAAGAAGAAATTGTTCTATTGCAATTAATGGGAAATACATAATAAAACCAAATAGAGGTGTGGTGGTTCTTAATGCCCCACTCACGCTTTCGCAATTTAATTTGCACTTATTAATTAACTTTTTCTTAATACTAATGGCCCATTAATCAATTATTACTTGTTTTCCTTTTCTAATTTAAAATATTCCTTTTCAGGTTTTCCCGTGTTTTAATAATAAATTAATAACTTTTCTAATTCAAAATTTCTAATTCAAACTCACGGAGAGAGCAAAACAAAGGGGAACGAATCAGTTCAGTAACCTTATGGTTGCTCAAGATAGGGTGAGTGAGAATTAAGTGGTGAGTAACAATGAGTAACCAAATCTGAACTCTTCTTTTAAGTGGCTACAGATCTAAGGATGGAGAATTAATGGAATTTATTTTCCCTAGTTTTCTTAATTGGATCATATCTTATTCATTCTAACTCGGATTTCAATTTTTTTTGCACAGATGGAACGAGTTCGTTGTGCTCTACAAAATGATATCTATTTCCAATATTTTTTGAGAAAATAAATTTCATCCCTCTCGTTACCAACTCCATACCATATGGTATCTCCTTCGTTGTTTAGTCATTTTCGAAAATTTTTGCACAAAAGGAACGATTTAATCATGATCTATTGGATTTCAAAATTTTCTAGGGGAAAAAATTCCATACCTCTCGTTACCAACTCCATAGCATACTATACCACCCTGGTATTAGGTGGTATTTTTCATACCATATGGTATGCTGTTATTTAATACCACTCAATACCATATGGTATTGACTGGTAATAACTGGCAAATTTTTTTGTTCCAAAATATATCAAAGTGGATATCATTTTAAATCGTTACCAACTCCATACCATACTATACCACCCTGGTATGATGTGGTATTTTCATATCATATGGTATGCTGTTATTGAATACCAGTCAATACCATATGGTATTGACCGGTAATAACTGGCAAATTTTTTTTGTTCCAAAAAATATCAAAGTGGATATCATTTTGAAGAGCACAATTAATCTGATCTAACTGTGCAAAAAAAATTCCGAATTAAAACGAGTGAGAAATCGTCCGTTAAAGATTAAGGGAAAGAAAATTAATGATTTTTCCAGAAGAGAGAAAGAGGCGCTGATGTGGCAGATTCTTATTGGGTTATGCATGAGGTTACTCACCGGATCTGCTCCCCTTATGGTGAGTAACCATGAGTAACCCGTTACATCAGCATTCATCTCTCTCCTGGAAAGCCTTTTATTTTCTCTCCTTAATCTTTGACGAACGATTTCTCACTCGTTTTAAGTTGAATTTTAATTTTTTGTGAACAGTTAGATCAGATTAATTGTGCTCTTCAAAATGATATCCACTTTGATATATTTTTCGAACAAAAAAAAAATTGAGCCATTTTTTACCAGTCTATGCCATATGGTATTGACTGGTATTGAAATAAGAGCATACTTATGGTTTGAAAAGCGTACCATGGTGGTATGAACAAACCAAGACTGTAGGATAGTTGAATACATTATAGTAGAAGTATATTAACTGTCATTTACGACTTTTAACATTGTGTACCACAAGATACCACCCCGTACCAGGGTGATATTGTATGATATTGTGTGGTATATTTTTGGTCTTGTAATTTGTTCACCCAGAAATTTGTAGATCCAATAGATCATGATGAACTCGTCCCTTCTGTGCAAACGTTTTCAATAACGAATTAAAAATGAAGAAAATACCATATGGTATGCAGTTGGTACCGAGAGGCTAGAATTTTTTTTTCTCAAAAAATATTGAAAATTGATCTCATTTTGTAGAGCACGATGAACTCGTTCCATCTGTGCAAAAAAATAAAAATTAAAATTAAAATCCGAGTTAATACGAAAAAGATATGAGCCAATTAAGAAGGATAGGAAAAATAAAAATGGTCTTTAATTCTTTATACTTAGATCTGAATTTTCTAAATGAAGGGTCCAAATTTGATTATGGATGGGTGTAACCCATAGTTATGCTCTTGAGCCAAAACAAAGCTCCATCGCTTGCTCGCAAAGTGGGGCCTAGATCATATATTTTTCTCTTCTATGATCCCAAATTTGAAAGCTGCTACTATTTGTGGTTTTGAACTACAAGTCTACAACAGTGCAATTTGGACCGACCGACTGCGAATCCCAAACCACTTTACGTGCAACGCAATTTAGACCGTTAATTTATTGGTGCGATTTGGTTTGTCCACAAAGACGGTTTGGTACGGTTTGAAGTGGTTCGGCCACAACGATAATTTATTGTTAAGGCTATTGTATTTTTTAGTTTTATGTTATCAAATATGACCTAAAATAATTCATTGTTTTTCTTCATCCAAAAAAGACAATTTAGCTCCGAATTTTCTTAAATAACTAACAACTACCACATTTAGAAAATTTTAAGTTGTTTTTATGAAAATACCACACCTTGATACATCACCAATCTAAACTCCAAAATTATTATTCATAAAAAAAACAAAAACAATTATAATCTCAAATTTATCAAGTAACATACAATTACCACATTTGTAATTTATAACTTATTTGTGAACGAATACCACACCATATCAAATAATTCATCCAAACGACCCTGAGTTATTTTTGAACAATTACCTCATTTTACTAAAATCATCCAAACGACTCCATATGGTAAGACCAAAACAACAAATAAAAGAAAAAGAACACATTTTAATATAATTTGGTCATTTTCAAATTCCATCGAATGCCCTCTCTTACTGAATAATCGTATATGTTTCATATATATATTCCGGTCAAGCAGCCACGTTCGGGTTGGTTCTGGTTTGGTTAGGTGGGTCGCAATTAATCGGATCACTGGCGATCAACTGGTTGCGATTCAATCATATTGCGGGTCAGTCAGGTTACGAGTTGCGAACAGTAAGGTTTTAGGTTGTTGACTTTTAGTTAAGTCGAGGTGCGTGCAGGTTATGAGTAGGGTTGATCGGACGGGTTAGCCGGGTCAAATTATGTTTTGAACGCTCTAATTATGTACTTAACAGAAGACGATAATTAAACTAACCTTAATTAATCGTAATTGGTAGCTATGGCCGTGGACGTTACTGCTGGCAGCTGTGATCTGGGCTTTGCTTCCATCCGATTAATTATAATATTTTGAGGTTGGGGAAACAATTAAGTGTGTGGCTGGCTGCCCGCTGCTGACTCTTCCGATTTCCTCAGTCTTCTAGGGCACAAAATTTCCACAGTCCCTTACCTCCAGTCTTAGATAATATTATTTATTGTTGCATTATTGACCCTACATTAACTAATTAACCACTATATAAACCCCCCGTTCGAAGAGAAAGCATATAACCAACACTGATCATTGATTAACCCGATCCTTGATTACAACGTATACATATCAACTGGTAAAAAGAAGACACATTTGGTAAGCCATGGAGATTCTGTCAGTGATAGCCTCACTCTACGTCCTGTCTCTCTTGTTCCTTGTAGCAAGCCGCCGGCCGAGAGGAAACTGGAAGCCATGACGGCCGGAAAGATCATGGGGCGAAGCAGGAACCTCGGGGTGGAAGAGCTGAGGTTCCTGCTGAAGGCCGCCTCCAGGTCCGGGATGTCGGAGGAAACGTACGGCCCCAAGAGCGTGATGGAGGGGAGCGAAGGGCGGCCGTGCCTGGCAGACGCTTACGCAGAGGTGGACGAGATGGTCTTCTCTACAGTCGACGGGCTCCTCGCCAAGACAGGGATCCCGCCATCGGAGATCGACATCTTGGTCACCACCATCTCCTTGCTTTCTCCGGCTCCTTCATGGACTGCTCGGATCCTTAACAGGTAATATCATACGTCGGCTGCATGCAGCTCCCCAAGCAAGTCTCGAAGTCCTTAAAATGTCACTTTTGATTGGTTGAATTACAAGCTCAACCTTCACCCATACCCAAGCCAAAAAATAAACACTTTAATAAGTAAACTCTATCTATTATTATTATTATTTGATAACCAAAAAAATTATTATTATTATTATTATTATTTTTTGTTAAAACTCTACCTATTAATTTAATACCATTGTAGATTATTTTATATACGCCAAAAAAATAGAAAATATATAAATATATTTTAATGATTTCATATGCTGATATCCAGTAAATTTAGCAAGTGGGCCCTGTTGTTTAAAATGTAACATACGTATACGTAAGCAGAGCCAGAAAATTGGTTAAGGAGTGTCCTTATTAAATCATAAAAAATCATTTATACAATAGAAAAGTAAACTGTAAATGAAACATATCAAATCATAAAAATCATCTATACAATAGAAAAGTCAACTTTAAATGAAACAAAAAGTCAACAACGTATTACTCTAAACATATCATTGTGTTAAGTTTGTGGTAGACATGTTGAATAAAGGTTTGGTTTAGTGACCAATAATCTTTAACTTGGAGGTCCGTCATTAAAATTTTTTAATTAACCCCTATTAATAACTTTCTTATTTCTATTAAAAAAGATTGTGCTAGGAAGGAACTTTTTTTATATTTTATAGCATATATATGGCCTAATGGTGAAAAGTAAATCCTCCAACGTCGTCTCTTGACAAGCTTTTCAATATATATATATGTATGTGTGTGACAGATACAAAATGAGGGAAGACGTGAAGGTGTACAATATCTCGGGGATGGGCTGCAGTGGGAGCGTGTCAGGAATCGATTTGGTCCAACAATTGATGAAATCCAACAGGAACTGCAATGCCATAGTCGTGAGCACGGAGGTCATGGGCCAGAACTGGTACGGCGGCAAGGAGAAGTCAATGTTGCTTTCCAACATCTTGTTTCGCGCCGGCGCATGCTCCATGCTCTTCACCAACAAACCGGCCCTCCAGAACTGAACCATACTGAAACTGAAGTGCCTGAACCGGACCCACATAGGCGAGGACGACGAATCTTATCGCTGCTGCTTCGAGAATGAGGACAAGTTTGGTTTCAGAGGGTTTCACTTGTCCAAGAAACTAACCACATTTGCTGCGGACGCATTGACCAAGAACCTTAGGGTGCTGCTTCCTAAGGTTCTACACACACGAGAGATGGTCTGTTACGAGTTGGTGTCAAAACCGGATGTTGTCTGAGTCAATCTCAAGTCTGGAATTGATCACTTTTGTATTCACCCAGGAGGGAGGGCAGTGATTGATACGGTCGGCAAGAGATTGTGGCTCGACAGTTACGACGTGGAGCCAGCGAAAATGACACTCTTCAAGTTTGGGAACACGTCTTCTGCCGGGCTGTGGTACGTTTTGGCGTATATGGAGGCTAAGAAGAGGCTGAAAAAGGGGGATGTGATTCTGATGATCAGCCTTGGGGCGGGTTTCAAGTGCAATAACTCGGTCTGGGAGGTAATGAGAGACTTGGGAAGGCCAAGCGTGTGGGAAGACTGTATCAATGACTACCCTCCAACCCACTTGGAAAACACTTTCATAGGGAACCTGGGTCACTTGATTGATAACTTAGAAGCTTGCGGTGCGTAATGGTTCTGTTCTGTGGGTTAGATGGATGTCTGGGTCATAATATAATGAACCCTTCAAATTTACATCTTCCATTTGTTTTCTCTTTGTGTATGTTGTCCGTTAAAAGTTTCCACTTTGTTTCCAAAATTACGGTCTCCAATAATAAAATTATCAATAAATTTGTGTTTATTTTGTGTCCTTCGAGGTCGTTTGGATGCAAGATTTTACTGAATTCCCCATCATGCAGATTCTGTGCAAATCACTCATTTGGTATGAGCTGTTACAACGAGTGATTTTGAGCATGCCGCATATCAAAATTCTCAATGAACGGATTTTAAAATAACTGAAACTCTCCGAACACTATTGTAAACCCGACACTTATTTATCCCTTCTTTCCCAATCTAGCCATGCTCTTTTATTATTGTTCCCATTTACCCTTCTTTTCTCGTTCGAAAGACAAAACACCAGACCAATTGTTCCCAATCTACCTTCCCATCTCTTCTCAATCGACCATACACAAGACATCTCATTTATCATCCTACAACCTCCAACCTCTCGTCCATCATTCCGCCTTCTGGCCTCACTAGCCATCACAATCACCACAATGAATTCGCTGTGAAGTATCAATCCCCCTTCCGTCTGCATCTCTTACTCCAACAGCCTCTATCCACCCATGCCGCCCCCATATCGGTTTCTCAAGACCTCAATCAAACGTGTCTCTGATGGCCAAAATCCACTCCTCCACGATTCAATATGATGATGAACATAAAAGAGTAAACATGCATCACCACACTCTTTTTTTTTTTTTTTCATTTGTGGAGAGGTTCCATTTTGGGTTTTTCTATTCAAAGGAGCATCTCAATGATGAGTTTCCCAAGGATAGCAGAGCAATCGTTGATGCAGGACTTGCCCTGGTCGTGAGATGAAGAACTGGAAGATCCCATGTCCTTGCTTCCTGACACAAAAGCCATCTCTATGCTCAATATTGCATATCTCTCTCCCCGTCTACGAGAGCAAGTGAGCTTTGATTCCCTCAAAATCTTGGCAAATTGCTTATGTCGCCAATCAACCACCACAAAATCGACCTCCGCTAGCCAATCGAATTCTCAATGCTAGCCGTTATCTGACGCAGGGCACACAAATACTCTGATCCGATAAGGAATTTGAATGCCTAAAGCGATGTTGTTGGAATTTGAAGGAGCTGACTTATGAGGTGATGGTAATGACCACAATCTCCTCAACAACGACAGGGAGGGAGGAAAGAGGATCAATGTGACTAGGATGACAGCGCGTCCTAATTTGGAATGGGAATTGGGAGAAGAATTTGGGACGGGAGAGATGGTGAAAAAGGTTTGCGGATGAAGGTTAAGTTGCGGATGAAGGTTAAAGCAGGGAAGATTAGGTCTTCGAATGAGTGAAAATTTCCCAATTCACTTTGCAAGTGAAGTAAGTACTGTTAAAATAGTCTGTGAATTGAGAAGATAGATATGAAAACAACAAAAGAATACTATTAAATTGCGTAAAAAATTAAAATTTTCAATAAACAATTATGGATCATAAAACAAACAAGTTATACTATCCAAATTCTACATTTTAATTTCCTGGGGTTTTAATTGAGGGATTTGAGTCCAAATTCTTCAATATCCAAATTAATGAATTTTGATTGTGAGTTGACATGGATATATTAGTCGAAAATTTTACAATTCTTATAACTATAGGTGCTTTCAGGTATAAGTTGAATTTGTATTGTAACGTTGAAGATACAAGTTCAATATGTACCTAAAAGAAATTTGTATGAAAAGCATATGTCCAAACTAACTTTGTACCATATTCTTAAAGGTATAAATTCAGTTCGTAGATAAAAGGTAACATTGTGCACCTGTTGAAGCAATCAAATATTTAAAAATTACCCAGCTCCATCGTAAAATTATTGTTTGGCCCTAAAATAGCATAATTGGAACCCTTTTATGCTTAAGACGAGTTATCGCTTATGGAAGCCGCCATGGTGCATGTGAACAAGATTCAACCTTTCCTTTCTGGGATGATATATAACCCTCGTGGCATTGTGGCTCCCAGGAATCACCCGAACAGGTTGAATTCCAACAGCTTCTTGAAGTTTGCATTATCAGAGTTTAAGATGGCGGTGTCAAGGTTACCTCATATCCCAATGTTGTTGTACATAATGTCTAGCTGACAATACCTTAACATCGTTGAATCCACGACATTCTGAAAGTCAAAATCACTTGTAACGTTGTAGTGAACAAAAGGAGGCAATCTTGGAAGGGTGAAGTTCCTTGATGAGGGACTTGCAGAGTAAGTCTTGAATGTTGGTCTAAAATCGAAATGAAAGTAACGACACTTGGTTTAACGTCGTTTTTCCTCAAGTTGTGTGAGGCTTACATCCATAAAGTAATAGATTTTAGTATGTGATGTTACGGCTATGAGCCAAATTAAACTTGTTTATATATGTAACCCTAAGTCTACAATCATCTAGTCTTATATTTGATGATGTATGAGAGGATGCAAACTCTTCTTCTTCTTTTTTCGTGGCTGACTTGGACCTGGCCGTGCACATGACATGGGTCGTCGTGCATGGAACTCACGCTGGCTGCCTCCAACTCTTCCTTCTCATAGACATCATGGGGAAAGCCCAATACTCCCTACAACTTGAGATGTAGAAATCATCAACGTGCAGCTTGGAGACAAGAACACGAACAAATATGAGCGTTTTGATTTCCTTTCGAACTGGCCTAAGTTCATGTCCTTAAGCCCTCTTATTTAAGGAGGATCTTAAAGCGTTTTGATTGGCTTACTCAATTTTAGGTAGTTATTGGGGATTTATTAGTTAAATAGTTGTTAGGGGTATTAAGGAGACTACAAAACAATTAAAAACTGCAACCCTAACCCACGTCTCTTTATTTTCCCTCCCGCAAACGTCCCCCTGTCTGTTTCTTCTTCCTCACGCAGGCAGGCGAACGGTCTCTCCAGATTGTTCATTCTCTGGTCGGCGATTCTCAAGTTCTCTGCCGAGGGCAGCTAGCTCCCACTGCAGTCGTCGTTCAAGTCCACCAACGCAAAACACAGCTGGCTTTGTCACCGTAGCTGCCTGTTCTACACCGTCGCCGGCTGGTGATTCTGCTCCTGTTCCTGTTTTACACATCGCCGTCGCTGGCAACTCCCGTTCCCATTGTCGTCCCAATCCACCATCGCCGATTCCATAGCCGCCGTCGTCGAGTCCTGTCCGTGATAAGGCTACCCCGTCGCCGAACCCCGTTTCTATTTCAACTCCTAGTCTACCCGTCGTCGAACCCTTATCTCTCGTCGGCGGCGTTTAAGGTGTTTATTTCGTATTTGTGGGGATTTCGTCGATGCATGGGATTAGGGTTTTGGCGTTGCATGGTAGTAGTTTTTTTGCGTTGTCGCTTCACAATAGTATTTATTTTTAATTTTATTGGTGTGTTTTATTAATAATTTCGTGGACTTTCGCAGACTTTTTTGTGTACATAGTTAATCAATCTATGCCCATTCTCAACCTTTTGGTATCTATTATTAATCATTCTGTGGGCATTTACAAACTTTTTTTGTCTCCATTGTTAATCAATGTGTTCATTCTCAACCTTTTGCTCTCTATTATTAATCAATCTATCGTGCAAGTCAATTATTTGTGTCCATTGTTAATCAATCTCTGCAAGTCAATTTTTTCGTCTCCAATATTTATTTCGTATTTGTGGGTTTGACGTCGCATCACTGCATGGGATTAGGGTTTTGGCGTTGCATGGAAGTTGTTTTTTTGCGTTGTCGCTGCACAATAGTATTTATTTTTAATTTTTTGATGTATATTATTAATCATTACGTGGACGTTCGCAGACTTTTTTGTGTCCATTGTTAATCAATCTATGCTCGTTCTCAACCTTTTGGTATCTATTATTAATCATTCTGTTGGCGTTTACAAACTGTTTTTTATCTCCATTGTTAATCAATATGTGCTCGTTCTCAACCTTTTGTTCTCTATTATAATCAATATGTCGTGCAATTGGTAATTTTTTTTAATGTTCGTTGTTCACGTGACAATTTTTTTAACACCGTTATCAATTTTTTCGTGTTATGGTTTTTATCCAAATTCTGTAGAAAATGGTAAAGTTTATTTTTCTATATTTGTACCTTTCTGATCCGCCTTTATCAACAATATTAAGTTATGTTCGTTATTTACATTTTCTGTTTGTATTGATCGTTATTAGAGAATGAGTTATTAATATTTTTACATGCAATTTTTAATTTTTTATAATGGTCCACAATATGGCGCGTGCAAAGAATACAACGCGTAAGTCTGCACCGTTTAGTAAGCCTATGAAGAAGAAGGCAGATGCACCCATAGTGTCTGCTTAGGGTTTTTCACTAATACAGTTATGATCAATTTACGTAGCCATGATTTGTAATATTTTGAAGGGCTATGATCAATATTTTTACCCTCCCAATAATCAACGTTTGTCGTATCGTGAATGTTTTCTTATAGGCTTGTTAATTATGTTATGTTGTGTTATTAACTTTTTTATTGTCGCTTTGTAATTATTTTATCAATTTATTTGTAATCGAAATTAATTCACTAATATAGTTTAATATCAATTTAGTTCATAGTGATTTGTAATGTTTTGAAGTGTTGTAGTCAATCGTGTATGAGTTGATAATGGCTCGTCTTATTATTAAGCGTGTGCTATTATTAATCTGTTTGCTGAATTTACGTGTAATATTATCAATCTTAGTTTATTATTAACGTCTCTTCATCCATTAATAATATTTTCAAAGTCATGTTCAATTTTTTACTAGTATTAACCTGTCGGTTTAATTAATGTGTAGTATCAACAATCTTTGTTCATTATTAACGTACCTTCAGCATTAGTAATATTTTGAACATAATAATAAAAAACTTTGTAGTGCTACAGGATATACCACAATCCAAGATCTGTAAGAACAAACTTGTTGTGGGCCCGCTACGTCCATCGCTTACCATTGAAAAGAAACGCGACAGAGTTGTCAACGTAATGGAGGAGCCTGTGGATTGAGCAGCTAGTGGATTGAGGTTTTCAAAGCAATGTAACGGATTTGTCAACATTTTAAACAATACATATTAATGATTAGGCATACGTTATTAACATTTTTACTGACGCTAATAGAATTATCAATAAAAACGCGATTTAATGGTCGTATTGTCCACAGTATTAACCTTTGCGACTCTATTTAATTATATTACTGAAATTATTAACCAGTAACTAAAATGTCGTGACAATAAGGGGAGCCTCTGATTTGAGATTTTTAGAGCAACGTAACAGAGTTGTCAACGCTGTCAACAATACATATTTATTTTTTCACATACGTTATTAACATTTTTACGTGATGCTATTATTAACTTTCTCAATCAAAATGGAACGCAATTTACCGTTCGTGTTGTAAACATTATTAACCTACCACATCATTATTGTTAATGAGATCATCGGAATAATTAACCAGTTACTAAAATGCTGTCACAATATGATGAGCATATGATTGAGATTTTTAAAGCAGCTTAACCGAGCTGTCAACGTTTTAACAATACATATTAATGTTTTCACCTACATTATTAACATTTTCAAGTGACGCTATTATTAACATTCTCATTCAAATTGAAGCTTGATTTACTTGTTGTGTTGTAAACATTTTTAGTGACGCTATTATCAACTTTTCAGCATTATCAACATTTCCTACATAGTTTACAACAAATAATGGATTCATTATTAACAAATTCTCTTCGTTTTTCAATGTAAACAAAAATATTATTAACAAACTTCGCCTCGACAGTGGGGGACCGGCAAGATGGGCGACGATCGGATTGGGAGATGTTGGATGTCGCGGGACGACGGCGGAGTCGGGCTGGATGATGGCGCGTGAAGACAAGAAGATGGTGACCTGACGACGTGATGACTGGACGCCGACGCCGGGTTGGCGACGTGACGACCAAATGCAGACGCCGAGATTGCGGATGAAGATTGTCCAGACGGCGACGGTGAGTGTCGAATCGGTTTTAGGGTTGGGAGAACGACATGGGCTCGAAAATAAATCACCACCCGTGTTTGTTTTATTTTTGGCAGTTTCCTAATAGTAATTATTAATAGTTAATTTTTTTACTGTATTAATAGTAATTATTTGGTAGTTTGACAATGATTACTAATGATTCTCTCTCTCCTTCTCCTATTGGTTGAAAAGGGTTTAAGATATTCTTTAAGAAATAACCCTTAAGGACCTGATCTAACCCGTTTCGAGCTTATGTGTGATGCAAGTGACTATGCAGTGGGAGTGGTGTTGCGACAAAGGCGGGGTAGGCATTTTCAACCCATTTTTTATGCTTCCAAGACTTTGAATGATGCTCAAGAGAATTATACAAGTAGCGAAAAAGAGTTCTTTGGCAGTAATCTTTGCTTTCGACAAGATCAGGTCTTACCTTGTGCTTTCAAAGGTTATTGTCTACACCGACCACTTCGCCATTTGCTTCTTGATGAACAAGGTCGATGCTTAGCCCCCCCCCCCCCCCCCCCTAATATGATGGATTCTACCTCCCCAAGAGTTCGATGTGGAAATCAAAGACAAGAAGGAAGCTAAAAATCTTGTGGCGGATCATCTCTCGCAACTCGAAGGACCGGGAGGGAGAACCTCCAAAGAGAGATAAATGACAATTTCCCCGATTAACGGTTGTTCGCGTTTGCCACTGTGGTAGGGGTGGGCATCTGATTTGGTTTAACCGAACCAAACCGGAAAAACCGACCAAATCCAAAATAAACCAAATTAGGTTCGAAATTAAGATGTGAATATGGTAAATTTCGGAAACTTGGTTCGTTTAAACCGAACCAAAATACCGTTCAAATTTTGAAATACCCAATTTCCCAGTAGAGCTAGGCTCCTAGCACACAAACAGAGCTAAACAGTCAAATAGAAACATCCCCCCACACTTAAGTTCGACATTGCCCTCAATGGAGATCAGGGAAAGATAAGGGGAACGATGTTACCGCTAAGAACAGACTGCGGCGGGACTGGAAAGTGGACCAGTCGGAGTGAGAAGGACTAGAAATGGGACCAGTTGTCACAATGGCACGTGCGAGAGAAAACACAATCACTCATCTACAAACATGTTAGGTAGAGTTGTCAGCCCAATAGTACATCATCCAAAGAAAATCAAACCAAACCAAACACAAAATCCATTTTGCACTCTTACTCAAAATAAAATAAACACAAAAGGACCAGTGAGTACAGCCTACTCGAGCTGGCTGAAGTCAATCTGCTCCATATGGTCGTCGACTCAGTCCTACGGTAGTGGTGGCGAGTGACCCCACGGATTGGTCCAATGGTGCTCCTGCGAGGGGTGGCAAAACTGGAGCAGATGCTCCTGGTACTCCATCATGCAGCGGTTTTGATCCCGGTCCCGCTCAATGTGAGCACCGGTAATGCCCTGTTGGGCCTCCAAGCGGTCGAGGCGCTCGTCTAGCATAGCCATCCTGGTGGAGTACTTGACTTGGTGGGCCGAATACTGCTGCTTAAACTGGACCTGATGGTCCATGAGCTGCTGGTTGTGGACCCCGAGCTGCTGAAACTGGAGCCCCATATGGTGAAAGTGCTCCGTGAAGAAGTCCATCGACGGACCAGAAGGACCTGCGGAGGACTGACCTCGCTCTAGTCTCCGTCGAGGAAGGAGATCCCCTGGAGGGGAGAGTGGGGGCTCCGACTCATCGGCATCTATAACACCCCCATCATCATCACCATCATCATCATCATCACCGGCCTCATCCTCACTAGTGTAGTCCTCGTCCTCTTCGTCACCCTCATCATCCTCATCATCCTCGTCCGGAGGCATGGACAGACCATCTACCACGATCACCTGCCATCAGAGGCCAGCAGCAGGACGTTATGAAGCATCTCCCGGCTGAGAGGAGGGGAACCACCTATTGTCGTGGCATCAGTCAACCCGTCCACGGTGATCTAGAAGTGGCGCGCCAGCTTCGTGATCAGGGGACCACAGAAGAAGTAGGTGGGTTTGTTTTGGCACTGAGCAAAGGTGGTGGCCACAACAGACCCCAGGTTTAGCAAGTGGTCAGGGTGCCCCATCGAGTACATGGCATACAGTACTCGCTTTGGTAC